ACCAATTTCAGAACCAGTAAATCCGTGATATAATTATATAATCGTAAAACTTAAAAGGAAAAAATCATATACGTTGCTTATTTATTGTAACTAATATAAAGAAAGAAAAGTTTTTAGGTTTTTACATTCTTAGTATAGTATTATTAGAGACTATATGTACACGATATGTCCTATTTGACGAAAAACGAGCCTCGTTCGAACAAGTTTTCTTTAATATTATTATTATTATAATTTAGAAAGTTTTATTAATTATTTAAAACAATTTAATATATCTCTGCAACGAATGTTAAATATTTAATATTAATATTTTATCCTTTCCCTAATTGTATAATCAATTTTCAGCAGAAATAGGGAATGATAATTTTTATCTTTTTAAATGAGAAATAAAATGGGACTAATTGTGTACAATTAAGTCACGTGATTCCTTACAATTTCTATTGTAAGGGATTTAAATAAACGTTTATTAAATTGTTGTGTAATCCAATTGTGTAAACCAACACATTCTGTATATTAAGAGAGAAATATTCTGTAAAAATTGTAAATAGTCGGACATTTACAACTCTATGATAATAGAGTAAGAAAAGAATGAGTGAGAATGAAAGAGAAACTCGTAGCTTTAGACCTTTCAGTTATCGTAATTGTAAATAGAAAACAAAAGCAAAAACCCCTTTAAGTTGTAAATGTAAAATCACAAACTGCAGGTCTAGAGAATCCTTTTTAGCTTTAGAGACTTTGAGATAGACTGCGCGTACCTTTAACATTGTTTCTGTACTTATAGAATATTCAGACTCTACTTATAATAATTAAAAAAAAAAAGTACACATACACATTCACGGAAAAAGAAAGAAAGTGAAAGAGCGATTACGCAGGCATATACGATATATGAACCCCGGTAGTACCAAATTCTAAACGGCAATTTTAGTTCTGTCTGGTACAGATTCCTTATATTTCAATAAAATCTTTATTTGAATTTTTGCTCGCGTGCAGTACTTGTTTTCCATCCACTCAAAGCTGAATAATCTATGCGCTTTATTTATTAATGCAGTTTCTAATCTGATCTGTTTTTCTCTCTTTTTCTAAGTTTTCATTTATGTTATTATAATATGTAAAGTTAAGGGAGAATAAAGCAACAGTTACTCGAAAATATTTTTTTGAACAGAGTATATTATGTTTAATATTAATATAATCAGTATTTTATTATACATATTTTTCTTTTTTTTTTTTTTTTTTATTAACAAAAATATTAGATAAATAATATTTACTATCAATATTTTATAAATAATATGAATGCAAAAGAATGCAAAGAAATTTAAGAAAATAGATCACACATTAATTATTTATTAATTTTGTATTTTTAATTAATACCGATGGAGTTGATAAATAATAACTTATCATTGTATAAATTTTCTACTTTTTAAAGATAGATAAACTGTTTTACCAATATAAGATATCATTATAAACATATATAAATAAAAATATCGGTTGTTGTTATTCAAAAAGTTAATTGCACAAGAATAAATTTATAATAATTTATTAATTAACTACAATATTACAGATAAGTTGATAGTATTCGTAATATATAAAGATAATTCCAAAACAAAAAATTTTAATAAATTAAAAATGGTAAATTATTTCTAATTTAATAAATGATAATTTATAATATTATAATAAATTATTATATTACATCAATAAATTTTAAAATTAACAAAATATTAATAGATAGAATATTAAAAATTATAATATTTACATTTTATATTTTAAAATATATGGTAGAAATCTATAAGTAACTACTTATATTGTTATCGATAAGCCAGTGTGTAATCTTACCATCAAAATACAATACTGAATGAAAGAAAATCAGTTTTGCCACAATTTTGTTCATTGCGTTATTATTCAGACACACGTTATTATATTTATTATATTTTTTAAAGTTGCATAAAAATTTTGTGTTCAAACATCAAATTATATATATTATTATTGAAAATAAATGGAAAACTGTTATTGTGCCATTATGCTATTTACACAATAAATTACATATTTTTTCATGTTTTCTTAATCAAAAAATGAATTTAAAAAAAAAACAAAAAAAGAAATAAAAAAATATTACAAACGGAATTATAAGGATTCCAAAAAAAAATAAAAAAATTAAGAATTAAAAATTAATGTTATTTTATTTATTTATTTTTTTTAACTTATATTGTTTTAGGATTTCAAGAGATGGCGCTAATTATTTATTCTTATTCTATTTCTATCTTTCTCTCATTGTTTTTTATCTTTTCTTTCTGTTTCATTTGCAACATTCTGAAGATGATCTTGATTTTAATATTTTTTATTCAATCTTTATCTTTTTCTTATTATTTTTTTCTTTTATTTTTAAATCAATATTTCAGAATTGATCCTCATTTTTTATAGATGTCACTAAAATATAATTTTATTTGATATAATCGATAAATATTTTTTTAAACTGATTGCATATTTTTGAAATAATATATTTTGTTATTTATATTTTTATATTTTTATTTGTAATTTTTTATTAAATATATAAGAATCATATATAAAAACATAAATTTTATTTTAATAAAAAAATATATAATTTTCTTATAGTTAAAGATATATCTAGGTATTTTTTTGATACAGTTGTATAAATGACATATGAAGTTTGCTTCAATATTTGGATGCAATAAGATACCATGTGATTAACGTTTGGTTTGGTTAATTATACTAAACACGTGTAGTTGTCAAAATATAATTTTTTTACATATATTTTATATTTTGTTGTGTCATTAATATATGAATTTTATAATACCACATGTAATTATTAGGAAATTTATTGTTTTACGAGTTAAATAATAAAATGCAAATGAAATTGAATACACGGCGCCAATCTAAAAATATTGAAATAATAGATGTAGATGATTTAGTTCTTACAAGAAAAGGTGGAGGTAGTATAATTGATCAACGACCAATTTTTTCTCATGATGGAGAGTAAGTTTTAATGTTATATTAAATATGAATAGTTTTTTTTAGTATTTAGTATTTTTTAGTAAAATTTTGCTTTGCGAACTAAAAATCCTTAAACTTTTAATACTTTTATCATTTTTTCAGTTATAATTTTTCAATTAATTGGAATAAAATTAGAGTTTTAAGTTCATTATCCAATTTATATTATATTATATACATTTATTATTACAGATTATTGTATATAGTATGGAAACATGTTATAAGAGCTTATAGTACACAAACTGGAGATTTTGTAAAAGAATTAGAACCAGCAAGTTTTAGAATTGCAGGATTAATTGTACATCCTGAAAATCCTAATCTAATCATTGCTTGTACAGAAAATGGAGAATTAAATTTTTGGAGTTGTCAAAGTGGAATTATCACAAAAAAATTAGTATGAATATTAAATGTATTTTATAACAATATATAAAATCATATATTTTTTCAGAATTTTCATATTCTATTGTTTATTAATTCTATTGTTATCATTCTTTTTACAGAAATTGAAATTTCAAGAAGAACCAAAAATAAAAACATTTCATATTGTAAATTATAAAACTCATAAAGGAAATGAATTAAGACAAGTGCTTGTAACATATATTTCCAAATGCAATACTAAAATTTATATAGTTTTATTTGATTTAGATAATGGAGTTTGTACAAAATCCACATGTATATCGTAAGAGAAACTTTCTTTTTAATGAATTCTTTTTATGAATTAAAATTTTCTTCAATTTGTTATGTATTTTTGCTTATTATTGTAGAACAAATTCACATGAATATTATATTGATGTAATTGGAAATCATGGAGAAAACTTAATAGCTATTCTTCATGATGTAGATTTACATATATTAAATCCATCAAGGAATCTTATCGACAAATTGTAAATATTTTTACATAAAAAAATGAAAAATTAAATAAGAAATAATTTAATAAAAAATATTTAGATATTATTTGATTTTATCACAGACACAAAACTGGTAGAACTGGTAGAAGACCAACATGTATTGCTGGACATCCAGAAGAAGAATGTGTTGCCACAGGAGATTCAACTGGTCGTGCAGTAGTATGGAAAGGTTTATTTCAAACAAGACCCTATACAGCTGTTTATCACTGGCATACATTACCTGTTACAGAAATAGTATTCAGTAAATCAGGTATATTATATATATATATTTAATATTTTTTTGAATTTCAAGATATATATTTATTATTAAATATTATAGGAGGACATATGTATACAGGAGGAGGAGAATGTGTATTAGTGAAATGGGTTTTAGCAAATCCACATCAAAAATCTTTTCTTCCGCGATTACCTGCACCTATTAAACATCTTACTATAGCTCCAGATAATTTATATGTTGCTGTATCTACTTTAGATAATGGTATAAATATTTTTTAATGTTATTTTATAATTCATTTTCTTTTGCAGTTTACATTATTAATATTTTCTAATATTCTAATATTTTTAATATTTTCTATTAAAAAAGATATATTTATATTTTTTAAATATGTGTAATATATAGGTATTGTAGTTGTAAATCCACAAAGAAAATTGACTTCAGTTATACAAAATTTTACATGGGGTGTAAGTTTATCTTCTAAAGATTTATTTCCTGCTGGTCTTATTGTTGATCCGCGTACTAATTGTTTAGTATTAAATAGTCGCACTGGACATGTTCAATTTTATAACACTCATACAAAAAGTTTATTATATAATGTAAGTAATGATAATAAGATAAAACTCATAAAAAAAATTTACATGTAACTATTGATAAATTCTTAGATAAATATTACGGCACAAAATTTTTTAACACAAGAACGCAATGCAATTATTGTAAATACGGAAGTTACAAAAATAGCATTAAATAACAATGGTATGTGGATGGCAACTATTGAAGAACGAAATGATAATGTATCATGTATAGAAGTAAGGCTAAAATTTTGGAAATATGATAGTATACAACAAATGTAAGTATAAAAATATTTTATATATCGATATAAATTCTAAAATAAAATATATTAATCATTAGGTATGCTTTAAATACATCAATTGAGCTTCCTCATGAAGGTGGTATTAATGCTTTGCATTTTCAACCGAGTACATTATTTGATGAAGATGAAGCACTGGCAGTTACAACTGGCAAAGATAAAAAATTTAAATTATGGCATCTTGTAGAACCTTTGTCTATATTCAGTATGTAAAATTTATATATTTCATTTTTATTTTATATTGTTTTATATCATTTTATATTAAATTTTAAGATTAAATGTGTTGCAGAAAAAACAAAATATTGGCAGTGTCATAGTATAGGAGATTATAGAAATCTACCTGTATCAGATGCTGGTTTCTCGATAGATGGTTCATTAATTGGAATTGGTTTTGATTCTAGTGTGACAATGTGGACTCCAGATACTTGTACATTTAAATGTAGCCTTACACATAGTCAATATCAGTATCCAGTGACGTAAGTATTATAAATAATAGTGATATTAATAAAATAATACATTATTTTCATTATTATTTGTATTTTGTTAGACGAATTGAATTTGGAAAACAAGAAGCTTGTCATCTTGTTATAGCAGCTTCCGCACATCACATTGCAGTGTGGAACATTTTATCACTTACATTAATATGGAGCGTATCTTTAAAAGTTGCAACTCTTACAGCAGATCCAAAGTCAACATATATGGCTGTTTTCACAACTGATAATTCATGTAAGTTTAATTTGTCTAACAAAATATCAAATTCATTTTTAAATAGGAATTAACCAATTTCAGTGTTTATATTCACACCTCAAAAATCGTCACCTATCTATACAAGAAAAAATGTCATTGAAAATAATAGTTCAATTTTGGCAGCCGTTTTTGTACCACACTTACGAGAGAAACGAGATTCATCATATAGGATATGGCAACGAAGGTCACAGCTTTTTTTTTTAGATTCTAATCAAGTATGTAACGATAAATATATAAATATACATAACATGATTTAATATAATGAAAGAATCATTAAAAAATTATTTTATATAATATTTATTATATATATATATATTATATATATGCATTAATTTGCATAATTTTAATATGCATAAATTTATTTGTAGGAATTACTAACATTAGAGCCAGAATCTGAAGTGACTATTTCTCTCGAAATCTTATCTACAAATACAAATGTTCCTGCAACTGCTTTTAGTAACCTAATAGCAACTAAAACTATTAAGGACACAAAAACAGCTGCACCATTTATGTATGAACAATTAGGAGTACCAGGAAAAGGAATAGTGGAAGAAGTAAGTGGATTTAAATATACTTTTATAATTATATGTTTATTCTTTTCATGTCTTTTTATGTCTTAATTAG